GGGCTTTTCCCGGAAAAGGCTCGGGCCCAAGGTTCTCTTTCAGTTTGTGACCCCCCGGCCTCGACTTGCGCAGGGTTGGCGAATTGATTGTGCGATGAGCAACGAGGTCGCGTAGGCCCAGCGAATAAAAGTCGAGGATGCTCCCAGCGAAACGCTGGTTTCTGAAATTCCGATCGGTAACACACATGGTAAAGTACACGTTTTCGTTTGGCGCGGATGTCTCGAGCGAAACGCCTGTGTTGCAGAATGTGTCGAGGTTGTCTCGAGCGAAACGCTTGTTTTGGATAGAGATGGTTCCTCTCCTGGGGACAAGAACTCAAATGATGTTTCAGGTGAACTGCTTGTTTTCACGTGTCCAAGTCTTGAGGATGTCTTGAGGGAGACGCTTGGTTCAGGTTGCCCAGGCAGATGTCTACCATGAGGACTTGTTGAAGAAGTCCGAGCGAAATGCTTGGTTTCACATGTCCAGGTCGCCCGAGCGGATGCCCAGCATGAGGATATGTTGAGAACGTCTCGAGCGAAACGCTTGTGTTCACTTGCCCAAGTCGCCCAGGCGGATGTCCAACATGAAGATGTGTGCAGAATGTCTCGAGCGAGACGCTTGCTCCCACGTGTCCAGGTCGACGAGGCAGATGTCTAGCATGAGGAGGTGTTGAGAATGTCTCGAGCGAAACGCTTGTTTTCACGTGCCCAGGTCGCCAAGGCGGATGTCCAACATGAAGATGTGTTTTCAGGATGTCTCGAGCAAGACGCTTGCTCTCACGTGCCCAGGTCGCCGAGGCGGATGTCTAGCAGGAGGATGTGTTGAGGATGTGTTGACAGAAACCAGGTCGCCCGTGAGGACATCTAACATGAGGCTTTGGGCAGGATGTCTCGAGCGAAACGCTTGTTGTCACGCGTCAAGGCTGCCCAGGCAGATGTCTAGCATGAGGAAGTGCTGAGAACGTCTCGAGCGAGGCGCTTGAACATCGCCATCCCTCACATCTCTGAATTCCCTTTCAAGATCGTGGGCCGACGTGCAGGATCCTGCGAGCTCCTGCAGGATCCTGCAAGATCCTGCGCGCAAGCCCAAGTCGATGCAGCCCTGGCTCTGAAGGATCCTGCACGATCCGGCGCTCTGGCTGACCCCTGGTTGCGCTGGCCCCCGTCTCGAGGCCCCCGAAAGTCCATGGAGGCTGGAAGGCCGGCGTCCGAGAGACTCGACGAAGGCTGCCAGGCCGTGGCGGACTGCAGGTCCCCTGCAGCAGCCCGCGCGGTGACGCCCGACGTTCCCGCGAGCAGGGTCTCTGGTCCGCCACAACTGAGCGTTGTGGATGCCATGACACTGGACACTCTAACAATCCTATCATTGAATCGAAGATGTGTTTAAAACGTGTAAAACATGTCCTAAACATGCTTCACACATGTCATTAACATTCAAAACATATTTGAAACATCTTTTAGACATCTGGGATTTATTTGGCAGCATGCTTCCTATCCATGAATCGACTTCCACAGCTGAGCGAAGCAACGAAGCACCAAGTGCATCGTGACGTACTTCTTAATGCCGTGTGTGCCACCCATTTCACCCAGACCTGAACTCGGGTTCGCTCCTCCGGGACAAAGGGGGGAGGGAGGGAGGGAGGGACAGGAGGGAGGGAGGGAGGGAGGGAGGGAGTGAGGGAGGGGGGGGAGGGGGGGGGGGGGGGGGAGGGAGGGAGGGAGGGAGGGAGAAAGAAGGAGCCTTGCAAACCGAAGTAGCTGAGGTGAAACAAAAACACACAGCACTGGCAAGTCCCATCCCCGTACGAGCTGATCCGAGGCCGAGGCGCTCTGGAGGCTCAGAGCCGAAAGCCCTCACACGCCACGACGGCCACATGCAATCCGGAGGACAAAATTTCAACTACCAAGAGGGGTGCGTTTGCCCTCCAGCTAATTACTGCCGTAGAAAGAGGCGTTGTTGGTCAGGTGAGATGCCCGCGGAGTTCTGGATGCTCGATTGAACGTCCTCGATCGTGTAGCTGCCCGCCGAGTTGAGCACGATGGTCTTCCCCATCAGCGTCTTCACAAAGATCTGCATGGTGGTCGCGTTGTTGCCGCGGGGTGTCGCCGCCGTCGGAGCTGGTATCGGTGCCAAAATCGGTGTCGGCGTCGATGCTGCTGAAGTCGGTGCCGGAGTCGGTGCCGGCGTCGATGCTGCTGGCGTTGGTGACCGAGCCGGTGCTGGCGTCGGTGTGAACGCAGCTCGCGTCGGTGCCAGAATCGGTGCTAATGTCGGTGCCAGAGCCGATGCTGCTGGTGTCGCTGATGGAGTCGGTACTGGTGACGATGCTCCTGGCGTCGGCGCTGGCGTCGGCGGCGCCGTCAACGCTGCTCGCGTCGGTGCCGAAGCGAACTCCTGCGTCGGTGCTGCTGGCGTCGGAGCCAGAGTCGGTGCCAGCGTCGGTGCCAGAGTCGATGCTGCTGGCGTCGGAGTTCGTGCTGGCGACGATGCTGGTGGTGTCGGTGCTGGAGTCGGTGCCAGCGTCGGAGCCAGCATCGATACTGCTGGCATCGGTGCTGGAGTCGGTGCCGGCGCCGATGCTGCTGACGTCGGTGCCGAATTCGGTGAGCATGATCATCTGTCTCGTCATAGACAAACTCCACGTGGCTGATCTGGCCGACATCCTCGAAATCGGCGTCGCAGATCATCGAATCGAGCTCCAGGACAGGAAGCTTCTCCCCAAGGCCGGTTGTCACGTGGCGCAGCTCGGCGGTCCTGATGAAGCCGTTGCCGCCGTGGTCGGAAAACCGTGAAGGCCTCGAGCATCCTCCTTGGTGTCTGCCCTGCACCGCGTGCACTTCGCTGATCATGTCCTTAGGCTCGGCCTCGGGCAGGCTCTGCTCTAGGCGCGTCACGGCGCTCAACTCCGTGGAGGAGGAGGTCGCCATTGCTGCTGCCGGCCGCGCGGCTCGGTCGGGGCCGGAATCGATCGAATCGTTCGAAGCCCATAGCGGTCGGAGGCGGGCAGCGGGGAGCCCGCTGAGCCAGATTGAGCCAGCTGGATGAGACAGCTTGAGCCAAGTGCTGTCTGTGGCAAGAGGGATTGAGCGGGCGCATGCGGCGCAGGCCGCTCGGCGGCGACAGGGATGGGAGCGAAGATCGAGGCCTCGGGAACGCGTTGAGTCGTGTCAGCGCTACATAGAACCCCAGACCTGGTCGGTTGGAGGCGGGGCTGTCTCCACATGGCTCCCCAAACCCTGGTCAGCCAGAACGAATCGGAGGGAGTCGGCTGCCCCCCGTCAGCGCAAGCCCTGGTGCGGGCGGCCCGAAGGGCTTTGGGGATCTGCTCAGGCGCTCTTGGGCCTCTGGGATGCTCCTGCTGGCCGCGGCTGGAACCTTTTCGAAATCCTGCTCAGACCGCACTCCTGGAAAGGTCATGGGGTCGACATCCGAGAGGAGAGGAGGATGATGCGGGTAAGGAGGAGCAGGAGGAATAGAAGGAACAGGAGCAGCAGGAGGAGGAGGAGGAGGAGGAGGAGGAGGAGGAGGAGGGAGGAGGAGCGGGAGGAAGACGAGAGGGAGGAGGACGCGATCTGGAGGATCGGGTGGCGCAGGGCGAGGGTTAGGTGGAGAAGGAAGGGGGTGGAGAAACAGTGGGAGAATGAGGAGGAGGGAGGACAAACCAGTGAGTGAGGAGGTGGTGGAGGAGGAGGAGAAAGAGGAGGAGGAGGAGGAGGAGGAGGAGGAGGAGGAGGAGGAGGAGGAGGAGGAGGAGGAGGAGGGAGGAGGAGGAGGAGGAGGAGGAGGAGGCCGGGGGATGAGGCGGGGAGGAAAAGGGGGATGATGATGGAGGAGGAGGAGGAGGAGGAGGAGGAGAGGAGGAGGAGAGGAGGAGGAGGAGAAGGAGGAGGAGGAAAAGGAGGAGGAGGAGCGATCAGGAGCGATCAGGCAGAAGACAGCGAAGTCTGAGAGCTTGCCCCGCACCGAACACGGGGCCGAAATCCGACGACCTTCAAAAGGCCTTTCAAGAAGGCTGCGCGCCACGACGCGCCAGCAGCACACGGAAACAAAATCCGACGACCCTCCAGAAGGCCTTTACGACTGCAAGCGCCGGACGCCTGCTGCTCAGTCTGTGGGGATGAGTTGCTCGTTGAAGCACTCCTTGTGGAGCGCGCCTCCACAGCCCCCACAAAAGAGCATCGGTGAGAGTCCGATGTGTTCTCGCACATCTCGCAGAAGAGGTCGACCTCGTCCAGCTGCGCGCCCGAGACTCGGCCACAAGTCTGCAGGCTGAGCTCGTTGACCAAACACATCAGGCAACGACCGCTCTGCATGGCCCTCAGGATCTCGCAGCACTTCCTCTCCGTGGTGATCACCAGGTTCGCCAGCCTCTGCTGCTTCGGGGTGAGCTGGTCAAGGTCCAACACGTTCTCGCCGCGCAGCTCCGAAACCTGCACCTCGTCGATGCTGTCATCCAGCACCTTGTTGCCAATCTCGCCCTTGCACGTGGCGAGCCCCTCACCGAACACCTGGTCGACGGTGTAGGGCACCACGCTGCTGCCGATGCTGCCGACGCCCACGGCGTCGCGTCGAGCACCTGGTTAACGGTGTGTTTCGCCTCGTCGAAACCAACCTCGCTGACGCCAACCATGTTGGTGCTCATCCCAGCGGAATCCACGGACTCCTTCGGCTCCAG